CACTTTGGTGGCTTGGGTTCAGTTTCCAGGCATGGATCTACACCACTCATCAGCGGCCCTGCTGTGGCAGCAACCCACATAAAAAATAGAGGACGACTGGCAACAGGTAACAGCTCAGGCTGAATCTTCCTCAGCAAAAAATAATAATAAAAAAATTTAAAAAATAATCACCGAAATACATGTGTAACTGGAAAGTTATTCAAAGTTCATCTATAAACCATCCGAAATCGTCTGTGCATCACCAGTAGTATACATTTCATGCTTAGGTAAACGTTTCTCCAGAAAGTGCCAGGTAACCACATCAAGGGGTTCCCTCACTGGACAGGCTGACTTGCGAGTTACTTTGGTGTTGCCCCAGATCTGATTTTGAGTTTCCAGTCAACCCAAGAGCTGCAGAGGTCTAGGGAAAATTTCCTTTGGTGTCCACGGTTTGGGTTCATACGGAAGAAGCCGGAAGACAGCCATCTGCCCACGGATTAGGAACTGATCTCTCTTTTGTGGGAAACAAAGCTGCCTCTCAGAGCAGGTTGCTCAATAGCAGGCTCGTTAGCACTCTGTGCTTCTCGAGGCTCGTTATCTACAGATCTCAACGTGCCTCAAAACATTCATTACCGCTCACAACACCACCCTGTCGGCCCAGAACCCAGTCCCATTCTGCAGATGGGAAAATTGATAGGAAGGGCTATTAAGCAACTGCCCTCTGAAGAGACTGAGCTATTAAGCGCCTGTTGAGCAAACAAGGAGCTGTGGCAAGAAGGAAAATGATGACTCTGGAAGATCCAGGCCTGCAGTGCCTCCCCACAAAGCAGGCGTTTGCCCTAGGACAGAGACACATACCTGGCAGACGTTTCCTCTGGTTGTTCCCATGACGGGGTGGGAACAGGACAGGGTCTCTGGAGAGCATTACAAGAGTCGGCCACACAGTGGGCATTTCATAAAATGTTATTGGATTAAAGGGCAGATGGGATTTTCCAAAAGGAACCCAATTTCTCCTTCTCATCCGATTCCCCACCAGAGGAGGGAAGATAAACTCAGCAAGGTGCAGAGGGTAAGGAGGATTTGGCTGAGAGATTTATGATCCAGGATGACAAAGAGGTGTGTAGATAGTGATTGGAAAGGAGGCCAAGAGCAAGGAAGGCAGCAGATCCAGAGAACAACATAAAGGATAAGATAGCTCGGGGGCTACAGATGCAGTTCAAAACTTACGCTGGAAAGGCGTATCTTCAAAAGGCTCATTTCAGGAATTTGTCCAAAGCAACTAATCGGACAATTATATAAAGATTTCTATAAAATTATATAGCCATATCTATAAATGATATTGCTTACTAAGATGTAATTTATAATAGCAAAAATTATAAGTAATCCAAATATTCAAAATGGGGGATTGACTCGGAGAGGTTATGGTATACCTATACTACACAGCCATTAAATATATATTTAAGTATATTTAATTATCTGAAGAAAAGATCATCATAAATAAATGAAACTTGAGGATACAAAACAATTAACAGAATCCTAAAGATATCAAAGGAAACAGAATCCTATGCTTAAGGAAAAGCTATATGGAAATACCACAAAAGTATGTGGATAATCTGGGTGGTGGAATTAAGTGTGACTTGACTTTTGTATATAGTCTTGTGCCACATAATGACCTTTTGGCCGACAACAGGCTGCATATACAATGATGGTCCCATAAGATTAGTGCCGTATAGCCTTGGCATGTTGTGGGCTATACCATCTAGGATCGTGTAAGTACACTCACTCTGTGATGGTCACACTACTACAAAATCGCCTAACAATGCACTTCTCAGAATATATCCCCGTCGTCAAGCAACACACGACTGTATATGTTTTTGTATTTACTAAAATTTCAACAACAAGTATGTATTATTGTAACTTTAAAATGTTAACTTTTTTCACTTTTACTGTGAATATTGCTGGGTCTTTAGTTAGAGACTTGCTCTGCTTGGGAGATGGCTACGGGGTTCTAAAACAGATCCACAGACTTAAAGCAGCAGCTTGTGTCTGTTGCCTGGATATTTCATGGAATCCAAATGACCAAGATACCCCAAACCCTCTGTCAGAGGACATGAGAATGAGCCCTGGGTTAGGAGTCAAGAGAATCTGCTGGTGGTCCAAGGTGAGCCACTTGCCCACTCCATGACCTTGAGCAAAGCACTTCACCTCAGATTCCTCATCTAAAGTGGGAAAAAGAGTGCATGCCCTGACAACCTCACAGTGGCCTAGCCTGTAAAGAGCATGCTCCAGTGAGAGTTGTCATCCCGATGGAGATGTGATAAATAGCATCCTAGACCTTGACTCAAAGACAGACTTCACAGCCTGCTCTTGGTAAGGGCTGCCCATCTGTGCTCACGCTCTCCCTCTATGGGCCACCTACTGAGAACTAGTGTTCACAGTTGTGACCTTGAAGGCATGTTCAGCTCCTGGAGGACCTTCTGAATCACTCAAGAGAGACTAAATCAGGAATGGAATCCTTGGAAATTTATAAGCACCCATGTTTTCCACAGTGACTTGCAGCGAATCAGGATGTTTTCGTTAGCTGAAATATCCCATCCCAGACTCAACTGGATTAATATGAGCGAGCCACTGGTAAAGGGTTGTGGGGCACATTGGTTCCTCTGAAGAACATGACCCATATTCAACTGTTAGCACACATTTGTGCAGAACCGGGAGCTTCCTCTTCCTGTGGAGCCCTTCCTCTGGGGAGTTCCACTTGCTTTTGCCTTTTTTATCACATGGTTTCTCCTCATGAAGTGGTCAGTGCAAATCTCACTTCATAGAGTAGGTGCCGACGTATCAGCATTGCCTGATGGTCTACACGTCTCAATGTCTTCAGGCTAACAGTCCCCTAAAACAACAGTAGAACACTAGCTTCAGGGAACGATAATTATAAGAAAGATGAGCCTCAAGTCACTTTGGGAAATATGACTTTAATAGGCAACGTACAATTACAAATCTCCTAGAGGTCACTCTGATGACCATGGATCCTTTTTCTCATGGCCAATCACATGGGACTAGTGATCCTGGGAACATTTTTTGGTCAACACGGCTTTGAGGTCCTGTGATGTCTAATGGCACCCACGTTAGCTTTGTCTTCAGAAAGCTCCTGTGTAATTCTTAACTGTCTGGTAAATATTCTTCAAGGAGATGTCTTCACAATTACTGTGCACTAAACACAGATATGGTCAAGCCCTGGAGAATACCAAGGGGGCTCCCTGTCCACCTTTGTCCCCAGGAAGCCATGCTTCTGAAGCATCTTCAGTAATTAATTCACCGACATCCCACCATTACCCCTACCACAACACATGCACACAGCTATGCTTGTCCACGGACAAATGCTTTTGATTGGTCTTTTCTACTTTGCACAATTGTCTTGCTCACAAACACCTATGCATTAGTGGCTTGCACAATCTCAACAGAAGCATCAAACCACGAAATAATTGCTGGAAAGAAGTCAATATCTCAGTGCCATGACATTAGGAAAGTGGCGTAACTTCTCCGGCCTCAGTTTCCTCATTTATAAATGGAGGCTGGACTTCCTTAACTTTCCTCAAACTTGAACTCTATACATTTCCACTGAACAGGATAAAACAAATCCTCAGAGCTGGGAGTAAAGGAAAGGGGGTGTCAGCCATGTTAAGGGGTCATGCCAGGTGCTTCATATGCGTGATGACAGGTAATGTTCTCAACACCCCTCGTGATATTATTCCCACTTTACAGGCAGAGAAACTGAGCCTAAAAGCAATGTATCCAAAGTTACAAAGCTGAAATGGCAAAGCAGAAATAAGAGCTTAAGTCTGACAACTACATCACATTGACCCCAATAAAGACGTGAGGCGAAGGGCATGACCAAGCTCTCTCTGCCTGTGGTGCGGATTGTAGCTACTGCTCTGCCCGCAGGCTCACCATTCATATTGCTTTTTACCCATCTGTTTAAGGAGCTTTGCAAGATCCCCAAACTTGGAGATGAAAATATTAGGACACCAAGAGAAAGACACCAGTCACACATGTCCCATGCCTTTTGCTTGACATTTCCCACGCTGCTTCCAGCCCTTTCACTAAAAGCAGGAATCTTCAATGCCTGCACAATCCTGAGCCCCAGAGATGCCCTGGCTCTCAGCTTACCCCAGGGATGGGGGTAGGGTAGGCAGCCTACAGAGAAGGACAGATGGGAATCGCTGGGCTTGCTCCAGCAAAGATGCAGGGTGGGGATCCAGGGGATGGAGGAGAGAGATGTCGTGATCATTTAATCACTTTCCTGAAGTACAAATTGTGAACCCATGAAAAATCTAATTGCAATTTTCTTTTGTCTCACTCAGAAAACAAAGGGACACTTTTCCCTCGATCTACTGATAGAAATATACATATCAAAAGGAACAGCAAGCAGGATTCCTAAAGAGAAGGGCCTTAAGCAAGGGCTTCTTGTCTGGTGTTCATTGGTCCCCAGCTGCATGTACCCAGCCCATCTCCAGGAAATGGTGCTATAGACTTGACATTCCAGCTTAAGAACAGTGGCCATGATCTTCCACCTTGTCTGAGGTCCCACAAGAAGGAAAAGATCCATTCCAAACATTCCAACATGTTGCCACTGATCTCAGGCTCAATCCATTTTGAGGATTTTCCCAAGAATCTCCATTAAAAGGGGAAGGTCTTTTCTCTATCATTGTCCCTCATTTGGCCAAGAAAGGGAACCAGTAGCCCTCTGAAGTGTTCCAAACCAACGTGTTGCTTTTATACTAGGACTCAATCAGTGGTCCCAAATTTCACATATGAATTAGTTAGGACAATTATCTGTCATTCTATCTCTGACTTAGAGTTTTATTTTCCTGCTGTTTTGTGGGCTAATGATTTTTTGGAGGGTTGTCTCATTTTGCTATTGGTTGGTCAATTTACGCTCTAGAATTGCTCAGTCCACCTCCGAGCTCACTGCTTAAACCATACTTGCACTTAGTCTGGAGGCCGGGGAGACAGGGACACACTGAAGCTGTAGCTGGAACTGTGCTTGGGCTCTTGATGCTCAACTCCACTGTAAGAGCATCCTTTCTTCTGAATGGGGCGTGTCCATCACCACGGCATCAGATACTAAGAGAGGATGGAGAAGAGAAATGTGACCTTTCAAATTCTAAGAAAAAAACCCTGAGTCCCTAGTTGTTTTAGTAGTAGTTAGTAGTAGTGTTGTTGTTATTTTTCAAGACAGAGTTTCACAAAGGAAAGTATCTGTGTCTAAGGAAAGCCACCAGAAACTTCAACTGGGACCTAGATCTCCAACAAATTCAGATCTACTGCACGTTTGCAGCATCTCTGAGCTGGCGTAATGTCTATGTACAGTGACGATCTCCCAACTCCCAAAAAGTAACTTTGGACTTGTGGTCTTCAGTTCCCCCACCAGTGGAAGGAGATCTCTGGCCATCTTAATAAATCAAATTCATGTCCTTGAGGTCGGTCATGGATGAAAGTCAGTCTCTGAGAGCTGAAGTTAGAGCTTGGAAGAACCAGCACCTCTGTCTTCATGAAGATGCTTCTCTCATTGCCAACTTTGAAGGACCTGGCTTCAACTTCACTAAAGGATTTAAAAGACTTTTCAACTGAATGGCAGATCACCTATCCTAGCTAAAGGACAAGATTAAACATAGAATTTACTTCCCAGCCTGAGTTTCTTCATTGGTAACACAAGGGTACTAACACCTGTCCACGGGATCAGTGAAAAAAGAAACCTGCACACAAAACACTAGCATCTTGCTTGTGACGCTCATCAATCATTCAGCAAATAATAATAACTAACAATTGTTGAGTGTCATCTATGTGCTGGGCTCGACTCTAAGAACTTTATATATATTAACTCATTTCATTCTCACAAAACTCCATCATGCTATTGCTCCACTATCCTCATTTTTTACAGATAGAGGATCTGATGCATGGACAAGTTAATAATGTGCTGAGGTCATGAGAATAGTAAATATTAGAGTTAGGATTGAACCCAGGTGGTCTGGCTCCAGCATACACTCTTAAGCACCATACTTTATTGCTTCTGTACATCTTTAGTAAATATCCACCAGGTGTTAGGCAAGAGAGCTGCAAAGATTAACACCTACTCCCTTCTTTTAGGGACCTGATAGTTGAGTGGGAAAGACAGGTAAGTAACCAATTAACAGGAAATCATAAAAAGAGTTGAGTTATGGTATGAATAAACATAGGGTGTTATGGGAGCACAGAAAAGGCACCTAGCCCAAACAGAATGGGTCAGGGAATGCTTCCTGGAGATGGAGGCACTTGAACTAAAGGGTTACTAAAGAAATTAGAGTTAGCAGAACAGAAAGAAAAGTGTATGCAAAGAGAGAAGGCATGGTACCTCCAGGGAACCACCGAGGTTCAGTACAGCCAAAGCTTACAGGCAACGTGGGAGTAGGAAGAATGATGCTGAAGAGGTAGGAGCATTAGATGGGGCACAGTCACAGAGGTCGCAAGTGTCTGGCAGTGCTAAGCAGCCTGGACTTACTCTGTAGCAGTAGAAGAATATAGATATACAGAAGAATATAAAGCAAGGAGGGACATGATAGAATTTAGCGTTTGGAGCATAGAAAGCAAAGAGAGGGCACAGAGAGAAAGATTGTGAAGGGTCACCTCTCCAGGCAAAGAGACAGCGAGCAGGCTGTTGGGGCAATCCAGGAATCAGCAATGGGGACCTGGACCCCAAGACTGGCCATGGGCAGGAGGGAAAGAAGAGGACTCAACGCTTAAATAAGAAGGAGAGGTAATCAGTAGCACTTGGGGCAGGTGGGTTGGGAGTGGTACAGGGAGCAGGAGGAGCACAAATCAGGTTTTCAACACAGAGTTTCTCTTAGATGCCAGCACCACTCTCAGAGTTGGCCAATAGAAGTCATGGAGAGGTGATGAGTTCAGCTTTCAGTGAGTTGCATTTGAGGAGGAAATGGCCAGTTGGCAGTTAGATGTGCAGGCTTGGCACTCAGAGGAGGATTATGATCTTGAGCTATAGATTTGGAATTATGGGAATTGATGGTCTTAAAGTCATTGGAGTGCACAAGATTTCTCAGGAAGTGGACACAATATATCACATAGAATGAGCAGAGAGGAGGTTGTGGACACAACCTTGAGGAACACTGGAGTCAGAGGGGATATGAAGAGGGGGAGAATCTAGCAAAGAAAACTAAGACAGCAAAGACAGGAGTTGTGTGGGGTCACGGAAGCCAAGAAGAAAGAGAGTTTCTAGGAAAGAGAGTGATCAATAGCACCCAAATGCAGAGATGCCAAGCACTTGCACCAGTCAGTGTGTTTGTCTAGAAATCCCAACTCAAACTGGCTCACTGTCACCACAACTAAAAAGACCAGTAGTAGGATGGCCTTCAGGTAAGGCTTGTTCAGGGCTCTGCTTTCCCCTTCCCTACAATTCTTCCAAATATATCCTCCTCCATATGGCTTCCTTCATGGCAGCACAAGGGTTATAGTACTTTTGAGGCTTCCATTCACACACCACATTATCCAGAAAGAAAAAGGCTGAGTGTCTTTGAACAAATTTCGTAACTTCTCTGAGCCTGTTTGTTAATCTGTAAGATGGGTATAATTATACCTACCTCACATAATTGTTGTGAGGATTAAATGAGTCAATGCATGTATTTAGTCTCTGAAACTTGACAAATGACCATGCTCCTCACAGGTATCCTCCAACCAGATAGAAAGAAAGGAGAGACCGGGTATTGGTAATGGAAAGAAGAGTAAATATAGCCAAATCAAATGACATCATTCCCTCTCTCGAATACTGTCCATGAAATTCACACTCTCAGGCGTGGCATTCAGGGCTCTCCATCTTTCAACCCCAAATCATCTTCCAGTCTTGTTTCCCACCACTGTATATTTTCGTGCTACTCCATTTAGAGTAATGCAGAATTTAATTCCTAGCTGTTCTTACAACCAGCACCTCTGTCTTCATGAAGATTCTCCTTTCACTGCCCACTTTGAAGGACCTAGGTTCAACCTTACCAAAGGATTTGGAGACTTTTCAACTAAATCCCAGACCACCTATTCTTTCCCTTTTTCTCTCCATCCCATCTCTTCCCCAGCCTTTTAAAACAGATCTTTAGGTGGAGGGATTATTGGTGAATAAGACATTATTAGAGCTCTAGAGGACGCTTAGTCGGTCTCTGGTCCACCTTACTGACTTATTCAGTTATTCTCAATGATAATAATAATAATAATAATGATCTACTTACAGCTACTTTCAAAATGCTCTTGAACCTTATCCCTCCTCTCCTGCGATTCTGTAGTTCAAATCCACGTGTCACACACTCGTATGTGATGCTTTTCTTCCATCCTGTCATATTAAGCCCCTTGTCCTGACCTGCCAGAGCTTATCTGTGTTCTTAAGTTGTTAGTCAAGACACTCACTGTGCCTCCTTCTCTGTCGCCCACAGGAACTTGAAAAGCAGGGGATCACTATCTCCAGGCCATTGACTAAACTGTTGAATGATGCAGAGCAGAGATTATGCTCTTAATGTCTGCTCCTAAGGCTCATGCTGATTTGCCAGTGAGCACTTTTAGGATAAACGGTTATTCAAGTAACTTAGAATCCATATACCTGTTTTACCACCTAACACCCATGACCCCAAATTGTCTGAAAAAGAACCAACTTACCCATCAACATCCTGTTGCAGGCCATGCTGAAATCCAGACGCTCTACTTATGAGGATATCATAAGATAACTAACCTAATCACCATATTCCAAAAAAAGTCCTTAGCTTTAATGGTCAGCATATCAGTCAGGATGGAGCAGACTCGGTTGCAGTAACAGATAATTCAGGAAATCTCCTTGGCTTATCCTAATACTTTATTCTTCATGCACATGAATTCCAGCATGGTTCAAACTGTTCTCTATCTTATTATTTTGCCATCCAGAACAGTGGCCTCTGAGTAAAAGAGAGGGCCACCGGAACCCCGCCAGCTCCTGCCCCTGCTCACCATCCACTCACAGGAAATAGTCACGTGGCTCCAACCTGACTCCAAGGGCACCTTTGAAATGTCAAGGAGAAAATGACTATCTGGTGGCACGAACCATCTCTGCCATAGCTGGGTATGTTTCTGTGTGTGATCCCATGATCAAATTTTCCCTCTTCTGGGCTTGGAAACCTTGATCATCACTTTAACGATTCAACATTTCTAGAATCCTCCACACTGAAGTTTGGACAGACTCCATTAGCATCCACTGGAGTCATAACTGCCAGTACAATAACCTAAATATTCCGATGCTTAAGAAGTCCCTTTGATGTCATTGGGAAAAAAAAACCATCTAACCCTCTGGCCACTGCGGGATAAGAACTCTCAGTTCCAAACGTCATGCTTGACTAAGTCTGATTAATGAATTTCTGAAGTTATTTTTGTTGATCCACCCCCCTTGACGCCATAATTTGCCTGTGGCAACATGTGTGTAGATTAATGAGGCTTTCAGCAGCTAGAGGAAAAGTCTTCATTAGCTTAATTATCCACACCTTCGGACTGAGGGCAACTCTGGGCTGTCAGGACACAGCAAAGCATCCGTGTGAGAGGACAGCACGTGCTCAGTGCTGCTCATCAGGGCAGTCTTCCCTGGAGAGCAAGGTGAGGAATGGGGGAAATAAGTAGATGCACAGAAGACAAAATGACAAGATTTGGTGTGATTGCCCAATGGCCCACTGCTTGTGCATGCATTTAGTAAGCACTAGAATGGGTGAATATGTGTAAGCAGGCGCCTCCTTCTAGCCTGGCTGGTCCTCATGCCTAGGACAAGCCCCCACCTTGGGGACCATTCTCTCCTAAGTCAGTGGGAATGGAATGTAGGGATCCTTGTCAAGAAGTTCAAATGGCAAAGCACCAAGTTTGTCCTACTCCTGGACCCATCTGATTTTCTGTCTCAGCTGTGGTCAGCTCCCACCTCAGACTTAGGACTTAATGACTCAGAGCCTGCCCTGTGTTCCTGGGCACCGTGCTTTGCCTCCAACGTCTCCCACTCTGCCCCCCCAAAGACCTAGTCCTACTTCTGAGCCCCAGGCCCGAGGGGGAGGTTTCTCCTGCTTCTTCACGCTGCCCCTCTCCTGCTGAGGTCTCAGCCTCTGAGCTCTCCCAGTCTCCCCATTGCTATGCTCTGCCAACTAAGACCCACCTTCTGCTTACCATCCCAGACGTGGAGCCTTCACCTTGGGCTTCACCGCCCAGGGGCTCACAGCACTCCCTGCTAGAACCTTGCAGGTCAGAGATGGTCCTGGGGGGTTCATGGCTCTTAGAAGATAAGACTCGTGCATGGAGAATGATCATGAAAGGAAAGAGAGCCTGAACACCTTGTGAATCAGCCTTTCTCAAACTTACTTGTTCTAAGAATCACCTGCCACAGGTGCAACTTTCAAGGCCCCACCTGTGAAGTTTCTAACAGAAAATCTGAGGTGAGACTCGAACATTTTGAACAAGCACCCAGGAGATCCTTATTATGAGGCAAGTTTGAAAAAACGAGGAAACAGTTATATGACAGTTGTACGTAATGACTATGATTAAACCTCCATAAGCCAGTCGAGGTACTAAGAAATTTACATATATTGGCTCATTTAATTATCTCAACGAACTTTGCCAGACAGATGCTAAATTCCCATTCTACTAATGAGAAAAACCCAGATCCAGATACATGGACTAATTCCTCAAAATCATACGTTTATTAAGTGGCAGAGCTAGGATTCAAAATTTTATCTTCTTGGCTCCTGACCCACATCATCTAAAATAATGTGTAGTACTAAAGGCTAAATGCTGGTGTAAACCAGCGGTCTCTGAGCTTTTTTTGATCTAACACCCTATCAATAACAAAATTTCGAGCATGCACCTCTGACGTACACATATACATTTTTAATTTGTAAATACATACTATTATTCTAATATATTATTGATATAAACTATACATACAATGGCAATTTAAAAGGTCAAAATCAAAATGAACTAAATTTTTAATAGTTTTTATTTTATTTGGCAATATCAAAGAACTTTTTTTGCTTTCCTGAAAAATGATTGATAATAATAAAAATTACTTTAGAGAGAGCAATGTGATTTTGAATATGCTTTCCTAATTTATTTCAACTTTGGTTTAATCTTTATGATGTAGTGATCGATGGTTTGGTCCTAAATTCAGTTTTTTCTGATACTTGCTTTTAAAGGCTGTCATTTCTGGAAAAGATGCCTCACAAAAATATGAAGATTCAAATGAAAAAGAATGCAGCATTCTTGCCTTATTCAGTCATAATACTCACTTTTCAATTTCACCTACCAATTATGCAAAGATTTTTGGTAAAATTTAGCTAGTACGTTTCCAACTTCCCTGACGACAATCCATTTTTCTCAGTTTATTAGAATTAAAAAAAAAACCTTGTTAAATATCCAATAACATTTCATTTGGAAATTTAAAACAGGCTAGAATATTCTGTTTCCATCTTTCCAGGAATAAAGATGTATTTTTAACAATGTTAACTGGAAATGTTTTAAATCATCAGTGCTCAAACACTGTCTTCACAGAAAAAGTATCTTTTTTTAATTCAAGAATAACATACATACAGGAAAATGTACATCTCGTAAGCATGCAGATCAACGCCCTCTTACAAAGTGAGCACACCTGGTTTAGAGACACAGCTCAAGAAACAGAATATTATTTGCAGACCCATTGTCAAAAGCCCCTTTGTACCTTTTCCAGTTATTTTCCCCCCAAGGGTAACCACTATCGTAGTTTTCAGATTAGTTTTGCCTTTTTTTTTAACCTCATGTAAGTGGAATCATACAGGAGGCACCCTTTTTGATGTCTGGCTCCTTTTGCCCAAAATGTCATTTGTGAGTTTCATCCATGTCACTGAGGTTGTCACAGATCATTTGTTCTCACTGCATGTAGTACTGTCTTGTGGGAATACACACCAGTAAGTTTATTCATTTCGCTTTGAGTGGGCATTTGGGTAAATTCCAGGGTTCGTGTGTTAGGAATAACGCTGCTATGCCCGTTTCACTGCCTGACTTTTGGTGAACACATTTCTATTTCCATTGGGTGCACTCCTAAGGTAGAATTGCTGGGTCCTTGGGTTTCCTTCTGTTCTGCTTTTGCAGATACTGCCAGACAGTTGCCTGAACCGGTTCCACGAATTTACACTCCCACCACTGTGGGAGTTCTGGCTGCTCCACATTCTCATCCACTCTTGGGATTGTCTGTCTTTTTCATTGTGGCCATTTTGGTGCATGTATGAAGGTCTCTCTCTGTGGTTTACACGTTTCTTTTGAAAGGCAGTTACCATCTCATTTATTATTAAATCGTGACACTTACCCTGAAGGGAAAACTTAGACTCCTGACAGTCATTTGTCATCCTTGAAAAGATCAAATCATTTAGAACCTTGATTTTATGTTCTCTCATTGCTTCAAATACTTTGCAAAAGAGAATGAAGGAGTCTCTGCTTGAACGAAATATTTTCAGGTGCACTGCCTATCTAATGATGAAGTATTGCACAGATTCTTCTATATTGTAAAGTTCCTGTCTCTGTATAATGATCCCCATCAGTGACATCCTATCGTGCCCTGTGCTTTTGTGGCTTTGTTCCTGACTTCAATAGCTTGCTATAGAAAACGCAGCAAGGGGCCAGCTCCGTGGCTGAGTGGTTAAGTTCGCGCGCTCCTCTGTGGCGGCCCAGGGTTCGGATCCTGGGCGCGGACATGGCACCGCTCATCAGGCCACGTTGAGGCGGCATCCCACATCCCACAACTAGAAGGACATGCAACTAAGATATACAACTGTGTACGGGAGGGTTGGGGGAGAGAAAGCAGAAAAAAAAAAAGACTGGCAACAGTTGTTAGCCCAGGTACCAATCTTTAAAAAAAAAAAAGGAAGACTGGCAACAGTTGTTAGCCCAGGTGCCGATCTTTAAAAACAAAAAAAAAAGGAAGATTGGCAACAGTTGTTAGCCCAGGTGCCAATCTTTAAAAAGAAAATGCAGCAAATAAATTTCACATAAGGTACTAGCTTGTGAAATTTACCTATTTTTTCATTCCTGTCAACATAAAACCAAAACATTGCTTTTGTTAAGAAACTCATTTACCATTGAGAAAGTGCTTTTTTCTGAACTCATAAGAAAGGGTCCTCCAACAGATTTTATTATTGCCATGAAGAATCTGGAAATAGCATAAGCCAAAATATGTTGAAACATCTGTACTACTTTCCAACAGTTGTAGGGTAAACTTCTCACAATGAATTATTTGTTTTAACATTTCTTCAATTCTTTAACAACAAGTTCTATGCATCTTCCAAAAATGTTTAATGACCAAGGAGTCTATTTTAATGTGTCACTATATAGTTTTCAGATATTTCTTCAGCTATTTTCACTATAGCATGTAGAGCAAGTGTTTGACCAATGGGCTATGGACTTTCACTTTCAAAATTAAGTAGTAAATTCAAAATTATCAAAAATTTAATCAAATTTTGTAAAGGGCTGGATTGAGTATATTATGACTTTAAGTAGCTGAAAGAAGTTTCTAAACATTTTGTTCATTGCAATGGCTGCACACTCTCATTAGCTACGTCAAGATCCAATATTCACTCAAGGAGAGAGTCATCATTAATGATAGTGGATGAAAGACCATGCTTCAAATAGTCTTCTTAATTTTTCCAGTCTTTTGGCCAATGTTGTGATTGATGTAATTAGCCCGCCATTCTTTTTATCCTGTAATTAGCTGAAAAGAGGCAGCACTAGGAGTTGCAGAAATAGCACATCAGCATTCTGCTGGTCCCCTGGGCTTGTGTCATTAATATTATCTCCAGTTTGCAGTTTCTTCTCAGTAATCATTTAAATCACTTGTCTATTTTGTGAGGATTAGTTAAATTAAAACGAGATATCATAGGCTGCAGATCCAATTAACAGGGCACATAAACACAAATAGGCTAAACGCTTGTAGGAGGCATACAAATTTCCATTTCTGGAAGATTCTCCTTGCACTGAAGGGTTCTTTTGAATAAGGAATTCTCCCCTGTGCTTCGCCATGGGAGTGTCCAACGTCAGAGCTCTAAGAGCTTCTAGAAAGCATCTTGTCAGCCTCCACATTTGACAGGTAAGGAGTTGGAGGCACCCAAAGGAAGAGTGGAGACCATGTAGACTGCTGGTTTAGTGTGCAGGCCCTGGGGACAGAGAACACAGGGTCAAATCCCAGCCTCTGCCACTTCTTCTCTGTGTTTGCCTCTCTAAGCCTGTTTCCTCAGCTGTCTACCTAAACAGGGCAAATGTTACCGTATATAAATTATATCTCCATAAACCCCTCTTTTAAAGGAAGGAAGGAAGGAAGGCAAGCCTCAATGCTGAGGCCTGAAATTAAGTAGAGATTCTCAAACAAGCCTAGAGTCTCCCCCAGAGCAGCATCTCTGTCTTAAACTCTGTATCCCCGGCGTGCTTAGCACAGGGCCAGGCACATCGTAGATGCTTGAACACAATTGCTGATTGTAGTGGGTTGAATGGTGGCCCCCAAAAGATACGTCCACATCTGAATCCTTGGAAGCTTGTGAATATGACCTTATTTGGAAAAAGGGTCTTTGCAGATGTAAGTTAAGGATCTTGCGTTAAGAGCATCCTGGATTTTCTAGGTGGACCCTAAATCCAATGACACTGTCCTTGTAAGACACAAATAAGAAGACACAGAACGCAGAGGAGAAGGCCAGGTGAAGAGGGAGGCAGAGATCAGCATGACGCTGTTCACAAACCAAGGAATGCCGAGGATTGCAGAAGCCACCAGAAGCTCAGGAAGAGGCAAGGAAGGGTTCTCCCCTAGAGCCTTTGGAGTAAGTACTGTTTGTTTTCACCTAATCCAGTGATTTCCAAACTCAAGCTCTGCAGAGCCCCCCATGGCCCCCACGATACAAGAAGTATGGTACCTACTTTGTACAAGTTACTTCTAAGACTTCTTGCAATGAAACTATTCTGCAGCTTAAAAAAACTAAATGAAAAATCGAATCAACCAACCCTAAATCTTATCCAGCTCTAAATGTTAACACTGCAGATCAGAGAAGTTACGTAACTCGTCCGAGTTCTCTTGTAAGCAAGAGGCAGAGCCACAGTCAGCACCGCCATCTTCTTCCTCCCTATGCAGAGCTCCACCCAGACACCAAGGGGCCCCCAGTGAATCAGTGTCCTTGGAAAAGAAAGAGGAAAACATTAGCAGCACTCCCCTTACAGGGAAAGACGGGACAAAGACGCCCTTGAATAAGAGCACTGCCATTCAACTAGAGGCTGTAAACACTGCGATAAGTACAGACAAAGAAGGAAAACGGAAAAGGAGAAAGAAGGAGACTTCAAGGAGCCAGGGGTTCTCCTCATCACCTACAGATTTGAGGAAAGCGTCCATGGTCTACACCTGCAAGGACAGAACGTTCTTCCTCCGTGAACTGAGCATTTGGCTAAGCCTGCTGTCACTGGGAGTCAGACAAAAGCAAATTCCAACTGTAGCCCCGTCGTTTACTTCTGTGCGAGCTTGAGCAAACTTAACTTCTCTGAGGCTCCGCGTCTTCTGAGTAAATGGGAACAATAGCTACCTCGCAGGGTGGCTGTGAGACTTAGATGACATAACCTAGGGAGTCTGACCCAGATTCTGAAGCCAAGCCAGTCAACTCTCATCTCTATGAGACTAGCTGTGGACCTTGGGCAATTACCTCTCTCTGCCTCGGTTTCCTCATCTGTAAAATGGGGATAAAGCTGCCTGCCACAGAGGGTCATCAAGATGGTTAGAATGAGCCAATAATTCTAAAGTACTTAAACAGTGCCTGTCAGAGTAGAACCATATGAGCATTTGATAAATTAAAAATTGACATGAAAATGGACCTTTGGAAGGAGAAGATTTTTCTCACCTCCTCTCAGGAAGGGGCTCCTAACACGCAGAACTTTGTAAACAGACAGAATTTGATTGCGTAAAATGCATCAGTCAGTTCTAGCAGGAGAAAAGTTTGGTTTTCTGACAGATGCTCTTGTCTGAAGATTCTGAAAGTCCGCAGCCTCCTCCGGCCTGACTCAGCGGGCACAGGAAGACAGTTTGATGAGAAAACTGATGCCCTGAGGGCTTGGCGATGCGCTGATGTCAGAGTGTGTTCTTTCTGGCGGTGAATTGTTACCCGCCCGTCTTCCCCACATCCTGGCCTAAGTGAGGGGCGTGCATATGTCCAGCCCCTGGCTCAGAACAGGGGTTGAGGAATTCGCCGCCGCTTCCGAGCGCTCCCCTCTAAAGTGATTGGGGGTACTCCAAGCCTGGGACCGGGCATTCCTAGGCTATGGCCACAGGTCTCGATGACTCATGTCTAATTTCTGTAACACTAGTCTGCAGGCCTCTAGCTCATGTCAGCTGATCACTGAGTTCTCTCATTCCTTCTGACAAAAATAATAGTAATAATAAGCACCAAATACGTGTCCAGTTCTCTGCTGCTAGGCACCAGGAACACAGAGATGAGCTCATGGGGAACTGAGGTTAATAAATAGAACATTGCGAGTCCTATTAGGTGGGAGGCCAAAGGAGACAATTTAGCTAACTGGGGAGGGTGAGTACAGAACAATTACGGAGCCCTTCCTATGTGCTAAGCATGACTCCAGGCACTTCCATTTATTAACTCATTCAACCCCTACAAGCACCCTATGGGGTAGATAGTAGATCCCCCATTTAAAGTGAAGAACAGAGAGGTTATACCACTTGCCTAAAGTCACACAGCCAGTAGGGGTGGAATCCATGGGCATCCAGACAGGAGGACTCCAGAACCTGTGCTCTCTGCCTCTCCCATGGGGCTGAAGTGTCACTTGTTGATGGCCCGTTGCATTTCACCTTTGGATCCTCAATTCCCTCAACACTAGAAAAGAGTGGGATCTACCTAGAATGCCAGCACTGTCTTCCTGTCAGGAGGCAGGAACTAGTCTTACGCTCTGGGGATCTGTTGCTCAAGGTTATTGCTATATGTAGGGTAAAATTTGAAAGGACATGCTTTGATGGTGTACCCATGACTCATATCCTAACAGGATCAACCCATTTCAGTGATCAAGGTATGATCAGGCCTTGTGTTGACATCACATTCTACATTCACCCCAACTCTAGAGGTGGGTGTTCATGTCCCCATTTCACAGACAAGGAACAGAGAGGATTAGAGAGGTCTAGTGCCCTGTTTAAACCACACCACAAACTAGAGAACTCTACATCTCATGCCTTTTTCACTGTGCCATATTGGACATTGAACCACTAGAGAAAAATCCTAGAGCCAGGAAACTCAGAGCTTCTGGTGCATAAAAGGGCCAAAACAGAGAGCGAGGAGTAATAAATAACAATGACAATAGTACCAGGTAGCACTTACTAAGCTCTTAGCACATCGCAAGCACCATGCTAAAACATGTTATCTCATTTAATCTTAACATCTCTGTGACATGAGTTCTTTTTTATCCTTGTTTTACAAATAAGGAAATTAAAGCTGAGATGATAAATGATTTGCCCAATTTGCGTGTGGTGCAACAAGAATCAAACCCGTGCAAGTCTGAATCCAGAGCCCACATCCCCGTTCCTCTTGCCTTTGCAGCCAGAAATGAATCTGCACAAACAGCCTCAGCCTCCTCATGGTGGGGTGCCCTCGGACACCGTACTCAACTTCTCTGAGATTTGGCTTCCTCAATTGCAAATGTGGGACCAAGAATACCTACTTTCTA